AATGAAAAAGTAATCAATAATTCATACTAATTGTGGCGGTGTAATATTATTAAAATCAATTACGCACAAGGTGTGGCTTATTAAGCTTTAGCTTCTCATCAAAATGGGCATAGTAGAAGAAGAACAGGTATGGTAACTCCATACAAGCGTCCTAGCGTAGCTTGTATGTGTGCAAGCTCGCCGCGCGTTGTGTACGGATGCACACAATTGCATAATCTAGGGATGCACTAGCGTTGCATATCGCGCCTTTCATTATTAAGCGAATGTGTGCGTCCATACACGGCGGTTGCGCACACATACAAGCCGTGCTGTTATTTTGAACGAAGTTACCTTACTTGTTTTATTCTGATATGCTAAGGGCGGTGTCATACGAGATGCATTGCCACTATAATAGCCGCGAATGCAGCTTGTGACTAAGCAATTATAAGCACTGTATTAGTTGATACATGAATCCTGTGCGTGATTGGTCGGTGAAGGTGATACTTCATAAGTACATAAAATTAGTGTGATTACCACATCAAGCGTAAACATTTGATGCTAGAAATATGATCACTTTGCTCCTTAGATGTATAATTTTGTTATAAAACTATACGTGTTATTCGTATTTTCGAAGTCTGTACCTAGCCAAATGTATACACATACATTTATACACATAAAAATATGTTTATAAATATGTAGTTTATAACTACATTAAAAAATCTTTTCTATCTACACAAAATATATATTATTATATTTATTCTTCTAATAATCTTGTTGACTATTTATATATCCGTGATATATCAACCTACCTACGATTCATCGATCTATCTACGATTTTTGTATCTTTGTATCATATATTTAAGCATCTATCTACAATATATCAATCTATATACGATTATCGATCTATCTACAATTTGTGTATCTTATCTACTATGATTTATCTATCTATCCATCTAAGTGTATACATGATATATCAGACTATGTGTGATTAATCAAACTATTTTCGAAATGTTTAAAATATTAAATTTTCCGGAGTTTATTTGGTTACATTAAGTAAAGACAAATCGAGAAACTTAAATTTTTAAGAGTTATGCTTGATGTGGTGTTGACTTCGTTGGTTGAAGTAGGCTGTAAGCTAACAGGTGTGGGTTGGGACAGAGGGATGGCGTGGTGGGGAGCGTCGCGCCGGCGGGCCGGAGACCTCGCCACTGCACTCACATCGCTCCAGTACGTATCTATTGGACACAGATAGCCTACTTGGAAGAACTCTTGTCTCCTATGTGGTGATCTTTAGTTCGATTCCTTCTAGAGTGCATGCACCACACTTTAAAGATGAAGGAAAACGTCATAATGAAATCTACAAAGGCTTAAAACTTAATGCATAGTAAATACCCCTGTGAATGTTGACGACACCATAATTATGAAATTTCATAAATACACACACATTTGGACATTCCTGTTCTGGCACCCTCACCACTACGCTAAGCACACTACGCAGTTCAATTCGGTCTGGCCTATGGAACGCAGTTGTCACCGTAATGATTTGGCAGAATAGTCTTCAAACAAATTAAATGACATTTCGTCTCTATTTCTATATATACTCGATGAGTGAGAGTAATTAGTTAGTTGTTTAGCACATTGACATTTCTTAACTAACTAGATAATGTCGTAAATTACGTTCTTATTATTGTAATAGCTTTGGTACTGAATGAGCGAGGGCGGGGTGACGTTGGACGAAGAGGAAGGGAAGACGAGGTCCGCAGATAATAATAATAACGCACTAGGGAAACCTTGTGTCGCGGGCGCCATGGACACACACATAGACAATCGCAAATTGCACCCAATTGCTCTCCCAACGCTCTCCCAATTGTTTCCGAGACCCCTACCGCCTTAGGACTTTTCAGCGCCCATTGTGGCCCCTTGGCTGTACGTTGAAATGTCATGGATATCCAAGAGCGTTCCGTTTTGATTGTCATCATCATCATCATCTTAGCCCGTTAACACCCACTGCTGGGTATAGGCCTCTTCTTTTGCACGCCAGCTCAATCGGTCCTGTGCGAGTCTCATCCACAATCTTCCGGTTTTGATTGTGATTTAAAAAAATATAATTTCGAATTACCATTTTATTAAAGCACACACTCAGCCCAGCGCTAGGGAAACCCTGTTACTCGTATATCGCGGGTGCCATGGACACACACAGACAACCACAAATTACACCCAAACTCACGAGAGAAAAAAAATTAGGCCATACAGTTATCTCTTACGGCCCAGGAATCGAACCCGGGACCCACGCTAACCGTTCGGCCACAGACGCATACATTCGCATAATAATGAAAGGCGCATAAGACAACGAGCGCTTTGTAACGCGAATGCGTGAGATTATGCAAATGTGTGCCTTCGTATAAGTCACGAGAAGTGCGCGCACACATACAAGCCACGCTGCTACGTTTGTGTGGAGTAACAATGTCTTATTACACTATGGTATCTATACCAACCTCAAAAGTAAAACCTCAAAAATCAGAATTAAGAAATTTAGCACTTACAATTTATTTTAAAAGATCACCTTTGCTAAATAATTGTTATTTGGATTTTTTTTAACTTCCATTTGAATTGACTCTTTCACGTGATTTATTCAACTTCGCATGCTACATATTATTATTTTGTGTTTTACTTTAGATTTACTTTCCTTTGAAATAGATAATTATTTATTGTGTTCTTATGTTATTCCTTATTTCTTATTACTTTTATTTTATTAGAATTATATTTGTTAGTAATTAGTTGCACGATTATTATAACTGGTTTAACCTTGACTTACTAATTGAGATATAGAATTTACTATTATTATTATTTCTTTAAGTTTATTTTTTATATTTTTCTAAAGAGCATAATTCGTTGGTTTTTGTTATTAAAATTATTTTGCAACGAACATTACAATTTTAACATTTTTTTTCTTGCAAGATAGCTAAATAAATACCTTTTGTTTATAGTTGGGAAATAATAAAAGACCACAACGTTTCTGCGTTTTCATACAAGTGCAGGTTTTTTTTTTGTTTATATTTAATCATAAATGTATGAATAATTTGATCTCTAGGTGTAGCATCAGACAACAACCAAGAAATGGCCTCGAATCCTCAATGGAACGCAGAGCAAACTGACGGACATGTCCCAGAAGCGACCTTCTTCGAGAGACTCGGCGCTACTACCGAGACTAAGTTGGAGGACTTCTTCCAATTTTTGGGCTTCCATATGGCATATCGACCTTGGATAGTGCTCTTCGGTGGTGAGTTTTTACTTTGGTTTCGTTAAAATTCTAATCACTCAATAAATGGAATAAGTAACATTTTCACGTATATTTTGAAGATTTCGTCTTGATACCTCATGACTTTTTCCAGCAATATTCCTTTGAATAATATGTTAAAATCCTAATTGAAAAATGTTAGTTCAAAAGTAAGGTTATTTTTCAAATATAGATTTGTTAATAGTCTATGGTTGCATACATAGGGCTGTACGGAAATAACTCATTCGGTAAATTCAATTAAAGTTTTTGTAATCAATTAGTGAATCGAAAATGTAATCACAATCGAACGAATATCTAAGTGTAAGACTTTGAAGGAGGATTTGAAATAGATTTCTGAAAATTAAAATTTGCTTTTATAGGTTATGTAAGAAAACATTTCTAATCTCATGTATGAAATATCATCACCGAGTGTTGAATCATACATTTTTTATAGTAATCAGCAGCAAAATCGCAAAACCCATTTTATTATATAAAACCCAGTTATTACAACAGATTCAATTAATGAAATCGATTTATTCGATTAATTTATCGCTTTGTAGTTGGCAGTACAGTTCGCCATCACTAAACTGTCTATGGTCGGGTCAATGATCTGTTTGTTTATTTTTTTGGTACAATGGATTGGAACAGACTATACCTTATTCGTGATTTTATTTTTATCTCTAAAGAGCCCGAGACGTTGGTTTCTTAAAAAAAAAAGAACAAATATATTCAGATCCGGAACATATTCCTTTGTGTGTAGCAACCGCGGAAACCTGAGAATGAATGGTGATTGTTTTATAAATTTATTCTTTTCCTTATAGGTCTATGCTTTGTGGTAGCACTTGGTCACGGCGTGAAATATATGCAAGTGACGACGAATCCAGTTGAGCTGTGGGCGTCACCAACTTCCCGATCGCGTATTGAGAGGGAGTACTTTGATTCCCACTTTGAACCGTTCTACAGAACTGAAATGGTCATCATCAGCGCCAAAGGACTACCAAAAATAGAGTACACTACAAAGGCTGGAGAGAATTTGGAGTTTGGGCCCGTATTCAACTCTAATTTCCTTTTTAAAGTTTTAGAATTGCAAGAGAGTATTAAAGGTAAAGTAAATTATAATAGTAAGCTATTATCATGTCAAAAAAAGAAAATTAAAAAGTAGAACAAGTTCTCAAATTTATTGAGATTTATTATGTAAAGAAATCCTTAATGGATTAGACTATTTTATCTCTTACCAGAGGGTAATGCATTATACAGGGTCATTTGTAAAATATTAACAAGCTCCTAAGATTATATGACAAATATCATGCGGTATCAATTATGCAAACGTTTATATGGCGAACGCCTATGGAGTGGAATTCCCTGCCTGCATACTTGTTCCCTGAACGTCATAACTTGGACCTTTTCAAGGCGAGAGTGAATAGGCATTATTTAGGTGTGCATGCCCCATCGTCGACCTCATCGTCACTTTCCATCAGGTGAGACGGAGGTCAAATGTGCACTAATATTTTGTAAAAAAAAAACTTTAACTTTAAAGATAGAAGGCTTGGCTAAAGTAACAAAATACAAATGAATTTCGAAAGTTCGCGGTATATTATACTAAACAAGAAGTGTAAAATATTTATAATCTCAGTACAAAGTACTAAAAAAACCGACCCGAAAAGTTAGTGGAATTTAATCGATTTGCCAGATTTTATTGAAATCCAGGTTGCCAGACGAGGTAGGCATTGTAGTGTAGTTGTGTGTGGATAGTGCTCTGTGTTATAGTAACGAAAAAATCTATATAACGATTCAAGTATGTGGTAAGTATTTATTAATCGGCTTGAAATCTTGGAACTAGAATGATAATGTTTTATTAGTTCTTCTTGTTTTTATGAACATGGCAGTCTGTAGCAGAATATCAGCGGCGTTGTGAAACACTCCACCATTGTGCTGAGCTGCAGACCTTTTTATCTCCCACTACTATTGTTGTTACTAAACACTGTGTAGAGCTTATATTTATTAATTAATGTGTTGAGATACATAAACGTATTTATTATTATTATTATTACCGGAAAGTGCGCGAAATTGGATTCATTCCCTAGTTTGCCACCCTTAGAGGTGGATATTTTCTTCAAATTTAAATGGAACTACTCCTGAGGTACCCTATTTCCAACAAAAATAAATATCATCAAACTCGGTTCACGAATACCTGGTACTGGTAATTCACAAATGAGTTATCGCGTAACATATATATAAAAAAAACAACAACACGCAGTCGTATTGAAAACATCGTCCTTTTTTTTAAAGTCGGTTAAAAAGAAATGCAAAGCTGTTTAGATGACACTGTAGGAATGTTCAATTAAAATTCATTTACAATTATGATATTTGGTGAAAACAGTAAACTGTTGTTGAAAAGATTACAAATCGAAGGTTTCTCAGTCGCTTACTGTACTTTTTGATTTGTTCGTTTGCAATAAATTGTATAGATGGCATTTCTTTATTTCTTTATTCTCGATACTAAGCAACGTTTTAGCACTGAGTTTTACTTTAAAATATTAGAAGTACAGACTCGGTTTCTTTGCGATTTTATTATGTATTATAATAATCAATGCGTTAGCAAGAACAGTAACCTTAACAAAAATGTAATAGCTTCTGTTGACCTTTTCAAATATTATTACAATTGCATTGCGTGTTTACATGGTACCATCTATTGCTCAGCGTAAAAAATCAAAATAAGCGTCGAAATAAACGGAGTTAAGAGTACAACATGTCTTTGTATGAGATTGGGTATCTGTATTATAACTTTTGTTACATGCTCTGGCAATCACTTTTATTCCATAACTTTTTACAAAACTTAATAAATTTAAGAAGTCTCAAACTTTTTGCTGTACTATCTGATAGTGTATTTAGTAATAAATTGTAGCAACGCCTCCCGCGTTCTGTTATTTATAAAAATAAAATTGTCGTTCTTTTGCTACCGCTCAGAGTTATCACCGTTTATTTAATTATTAAATTTTTGTACGGAAGTAAAATCTGAAGAATTATTAAAAGTTATGGAAGGTGTTGTTTATGATGTTTGTAATATAGACCTGCGAGATTATCTGCTGCTTCTGTGGCCGAATGGTTACCATGCTGGTCTGCCACGCAGAGGTCCCAGGTTTGATTCCCGGGCCGGGAGAAATATTTGTATGGTCTACATTTATTTCTCTCGTGAGTTTGGGTGTAATTTGTGATTGTCAATGTGTACGTCTATGGTAACCGCGACACAGGGTTTCCCTAGTGTGTGCGTTATTTGTTATTATTATTTTGCAAATAACCCAGTATATCATCGCAAATATGACTTCACATTGCTATAAACTAGTCTTTCTGAGCTCCGTACATTTATGTTGTAAATGTACCGTGTTTTTTTAAAACGCGAGTTTGAAAACGCGTATTGTTTTTCAGCGATCGGTAACGAATCGGGTATCCAAAACATCTGCTACGCGCCTCTGTCGTCACCATTCGACGGCCCTGTGACCACCGACAATTGCGTTATACAGTCGGTATGGGGCTGGTGGCAGAATG